CTGCTTCCCCTTCCCTCCAGCTGGTACTTCATCCTTCTTTGCTCTTCTAGAATAGGTAAACCGGATGGCGGGCTTATCAGAGCTCTACTTTGAAACTCATCTGGCAGTTTTCTCATGATATTTCCAGATCCCAAAACCAAAATTATGGCTCAACCTTTAGTGAATCATTAAAGAATTGAATTTTAAGAGGTGTGATTGCATGTTAATGGTTCGATTGTTTGTTTTGTTGTTGACAATAATTTATTTAATTGAATTTGAATTATAATTATGTTGGAAGTGTTTTTTTCTAAACCTCACTTTACTGTCATTTGGTAATTATTCTCCAGGCTTCAAGGCAATCCAGTATGCCATAAAGCAGATATTTTGAAGATTGTCCTGTTCTGTGGACCGAATTCTGGGATGGATTATGTGCCCAATTATTCAACAAATTCGACCATGATATGTCCCATCCAAGCATGTCCTGTGGGCAATTATTTTGAATACGTGCCAGCATCTCCTATCCCTTGCTTCTGTGCTTCACCCATCCTAATTGGATATAGGCTGAAAAGTCCTAGTTTCTCTTATCTCCCTCCATACGAGCTCCCACTTGAGTTATACTTAACTAGTTCTCTTGCTTTACACCTTTAACAATTATATATTGACTCTTTTTTCTGGGAAGAAGGGCCTCGTCTGAGGATGTACTTGAAGCTTTTTCCTGTGGCTGGTACTGATCATTCAAGTCTATTCAATGCAAGTGAAATTATTCGGATCAGAAGCATCTTTACAACTTGGGAATTTCCTAGAAATGACTTTTATGGACCTTATGAGCTTCTCAACTTCACTCTAGTGGGTCCTTACTCATATGGTAAGCACTCTGGTCAATTGGCATTAAAAGACTAATTTATACTTGTCAAGGTCAGCTCTAATAGAACTATTGAACATATCTCCAAGATAAAGCTGAATGCTGAAACACTTCCCACTCAGTCGTACTGACACGAATTTGATGAGGTCCTCTGTCATTAGGTTCCAAGTGGTTAAATTGACTTGAAATACATTCACCATACATGGCATCAGAACTGGAGGGTAATTTAAGAAACGAAGAAAGTAAAAAGGGGGACTTTTGTGACTCAAAGTGTTACAACCAAGAAAACAACAATGCAACTGCATTTTGACTGTATCAATGAAGGAATCTGGTTTAGCCAGTTCTTTATTCTGTGGACTCAACTTTTCTGTCTTCAGAACCATGTGATGCTCTGGAGTCTGGAATTCTGGTGGCATGCAAGTTAAAATGTTAAACTAATCTTCATCTCTGTTGTTGATGAAGTTAAAATGGTCCAGCGTGGTTGCCCAAAAATTTGGTTTTGCTGTACTTTTAAAGATGTAATCCATGGAGCGGCTAAAAAAGATCCATGGAGCCAAACTCAAGTTTATTGAGAACATGACTTAGCTTCTTGTTGTTGTTGTTATATATCTCTATCATACTCAAGCTTTCATGTAAAAACTGAATACCAGAATGTAAATTAATCATACTTTATTACATTCCTCTAATATCTTATTGTTTATGCAGTGAATTTTAATACTCAAGGCACAGGTATGAGCAGGGGCATCTTGATATCTATCATACTTGGGTCTGTTGTCTTTGCAGTAATTATATCAGCAACTCTGTCAAGTTCACTCACAAAAAGTTATACTAACTACCGTATATTGTCAAGGAAACGTTTCTGTAAGTGTTCCAAGTTGATAAAACTTTAATTTCTTTCAAATATAATTAGGGGAAAGTGAGGTGGTTATTTTACACTGCAGCCTCAAAGCTTTCAATAAAAATAGAAGGTGTTAGAAGCTTCACCTTTAAAGAAATGGCATTGGCTACAAATGATTTCCATAGTTCTGCTCAAGTGGGCCAAGGTGGTTATGGCACTGTTTACAAGGGGATTTTATCTGATCAAACAGTTGTAGCCATAAAGCGAGCAAAAGAAGGATCTTTACAGGGTAAAAAGGAATTCTTGACAGAGATAGAACTGTTGTCAAGGCTGCATCACCGAAACCTAGTTTCTCTGATTGGATACTGCGATGAAGAAGGCGGACAGGTATGTTAAAATGGGAGAATTCTTGTTATAGATATCGTGTTTGAACTTTTTTACGCCACTCAAGGATTTTGCCTTTGTTTTCTTCTGTAATCTTAATTTAACAATACTGTTTAATGTTAAGATTTGGGGTCCATCTTAATAAAGTCAACCTTATTAAGAGGAGTGTCCCAATTCTTTATATATTGGTCATTGTTTCGGTATTTTACCGATGTGGGATTATATTCCCTTAACATGCCCCCACAAGATGGTGGCTCGTTTGAGCAGACCAATCTTGAAATCCGTGTGCTCATTTTAGAGACTTAATCGGATCGAATCGCTCGTTGGAGCTTAATGGGCTCTGATACCATTTTAAGACTTGGGGTTCATCTTAACAAGGTCAACTTTTTTAAGAAGAGTGTCCCAATCCTTTATATATTGGTCATTGTTTCGGTATTTTACCGATGTGGGATTATATTCCCTTAACATTTAATTTGTCAACTTTCTGGACATAAAAAGTGCCAACGGTTGTTAAGCGCTTCTTTCAATTATGAGGTTGAACTGTAAATACGTCTTTCCTGGGGATGACCATTTTGATGGAGAACAAAGAACGTAAACTTTTAACTAGAGGAGTTCCAGATTCTGTTTTGTGTGGATGTCCCCTTCTGTGGGACATTTTTCTTGTTCTTTCTTTTCTGTATTGTTTCTCATGTTGAATTTATTATTATTATTTTATTTTATATTATTATTTTATTTTTTTATTATTATCATTATTTTTTTATTATTTTTTTTGCGGGGTGCGGTATCGGCAATGAAATTAATGAATACGACGATTTTCTTCGTGAAAATAATGTGTATTAGTGATGCATTTGCAGATGCTGGTTTATGAATTCATGCCAAATGGCACATTGCGAAACTGGCTTTCAGGTGAGGAAATAACTTCGAGTTTGCCATTCTTTAATCTGGTTGCTTGATCATCACTTATTTCCGTTGTTTTTGGACCAGAATTTGAGACAAGATACCATTTCGAGTGGTCGTTTATGAGGATTTCCTAACATTGATGATTTTAAATTATGCTTTACTACCCTCGTATATTCTCTGACTGAAACCTCAGATTTTGAAGTATATCTACATATGCCACAATGAGACATTTGATAGGCATACTATTGCAGCTTGATTGAAAGATTATGTTTTCTTGTTAAAGGATAGATCACTTTGCCACTGGAAACAAGAAAAATCATGACATTTATTTTAATATCATTCATCTATTTCTGTTATTTGACAGCCAAGTCAAATAAAGCTCCGGAGTTTGGAGTAAGGTTGCGCATTGCATTGGGTGCAGCGAAGGGCATTCTCTACCTCCATACTGAAGCTAATCCGCCCATCTTCCATAGAGACATCAAATCCAGCAACATTCTTTTGGATTCCAAGCTAACCGCTAAAGTAGCTGACTTTGGTCTTTCACGACTTGCGCCTGCCTTGGACGATGAAGGGGCTGTGCCTAATCACGTATCCACTCTTGTGAAGGGCACACCAGTAAGTCTGATTCAGTTGTTAAGTTTAAATTTGAGAGTTTAAAGAAAATAAGAAAATTAACAGGTTTATGATAAATTCCGTTTTTTCTGTTTTTTTATTTGTGCACTTTTAGCATTCAGTTTCCTGGTGTTAATGGTTTTTCTACTACATGTAGGGTTACCTTGATCCTGAATACTTTATGACCCATAAGTTAACGGACAAAAGTGATGTCTACAGCTTTGGAGTTGTCCTTTTGGAGATCCTAACAGGCATGCATCCAATATCTTATGGCAAAAATATTGTTCGTGAGGTACCGTACTACTACCCAATTATATATCCTCTCTCATAAACAGATGAATCGTCTTTGATTTGTGATAGAAAATAGAAAGAAGTGCTTATTCTCTCAGCTGTTACAAAAGAATGGTAGAACATACAAAACTACGCAGAAGTTAAGGAGTACATTGTTTACAGAAGCTAAAATCATTAAATATTTTCTATGAACTATTAGTTTTGACTGTTTAGAAATCAACTCTAGAGGTAGTATTTGGACTCTCTGCCAGTGTTGAATCATATGATTAGTTGATTATGTTATTTTGAGATCTAACAGATGCACTTTGTTGAAAATTTTGAACTTTCAGAGAGATGACACTTCGGCTGTTTACAATTTTCGTGCTGTTGAAATTTGAACTTACAAATCTTCTCTTTAATACCGTATTAACCACCTCATCTGAATGTTTAAACTGTCAAAGAAATGATAAATTTATTCATGTATATATTTTGTCTAAACATGTGTAATGTGGACAAATGACATTTAGTGTTCTTGAACTTTCGCAGTATCAAGAGAAATCATGATGCTGAAAAAACTGAAACTAAGATTTTGCATGTTCAATAATGTCAGGTGAATATGGCTCGAAAATCAGGAACACCATTTTCCATTATAGATAGCAGAATGGGATCTTACCCTTCAGTATGTATGGAAAAATTTGTGCTTTTGGCTCTTAGTTGTTGCCAAGATAAACCAGAAGATAGACCATCAATGCTTGTAGTGGTAAGGGAGCTCGAAGAAATTCTTCGATTGATGCTCTTCCAATTTCAAATCCAAACATTTTAATGAGTTGATGCCTTCATCGTCCACAACTACCAATTACGACCTACCTATGTCCGGAGGTTATCTTAGTAGTCTCACGCTGACTGTCACACCACGCAAATCGCCTCGAGTTTGTCCAAAACTAGACTTGTAATTAGAATATTATGTCATAAGATGTAATGTATATATATTCCACTGAGTTCTGCAAAATTTATGGTAGTGTGTATTCTACTTGGTTTTGAAAAGCACAAATACGTGTATTGTACATGAATAAATTTCTCGGTAGTCCAATATTATATTATCCTAGAAAAACGAAGTCTCCACTCCAAATCTCACAATCAACATTCGCATGTCACTGAAACGAATCAAAACGAATGGTTAACGGTTGATCCAGCTTAAGTACACGTGCCATGCCAAGAAAAATATTATCATTTTCACATTCAAAAACAAGCAAACCTGTTTATTATTAATCCAAAAGTAAAAGAAACAGGAAGAAAGCACAGCGTTGGGGTAAGGACTGGGTGGGTTATGATCCTCATCACTTGGAAGTAGATTCACTACTGCCAAAGTCATCATACTCATCCACCAGTTTCCCCCTCTCTTCAGCAGATCCGACAAGAGTAGTGCCTGCCTTCCCTTGATCGACGCTCTGTGATCCTGTTAACCTGGCTAAAATCACGAATGACATCCCTCCAAGAACATTGTTCAAACATCTTAAAACGACAACTGAGGATTTGAAGACGAACGGTGGAAGCCCCTTGGCTAGCAAAAACTCAACCCCATTCAGAGTTTGGTATCTCAAATTACTGCTGAGGCCCATGTGAATTGCCCAAGTAAGAGCATTCAAAACTGTTGGTGGAGGCTTGTTTGGTGTCTCAAAGTTTGGATCCATCTTCTTCCTCATCTTGATCAAACCATTCGAAATAGCAGTTCCAACAAGTCCAGCTGCAAATCCAACAGCAGCAAACAGAGTTCCTTTATACACAAAAGTACCTAACCTATTCAACATACTATAAGGTCCTGGCTCAAACATGTGGCTCGTCGGAGAATTTGCGAAAATTGCAGGAAGACCTGCGCTCGAAGAAGCCAAAGTTGGCGCTAGGAGATACATGAGCACAAAATTCAGAATCGAACCAACAACAAGAGTAGAAAACACGAAATCAAGCTCATTGAGGCCAAAATTTGGACGAGATGCCATATCACCAATAACACAAGCAGTAACACCAACCAATTCCTCCATAAGAACCTTGAATGGGAATTGTGGATCGGCAGCAACCCTTGACCTCCAACCATTCAGAAAAGCACCAATTGGTCCAAAACCATCCAATGAAGACTTGGAATCATCCGAATCTCCACCACCATCAGCCCAACCTCCACTGTCACTATCCCCACCACCACTACCTCCTCGAAAACCGATATCACTACCACCCCCAGCACAAGGGATATGAAAATTAGATAATTGTGTAGTTTCAGCACATTTTAACGAGCAAATGGAAAGCTCATTTGGGGAAGTACTATGAACAAATCTGCGAGTAAAATTGGAAATTTCACGGTAGGAGGTGAACTGGCGATAGTGGCCAGCAAGAGGAGAGTATCGAAGCTGAGTCATTGTCGCCATTATTTCCAGCCAAAATCAAAATTTGGCCACCTCTCACTTTCTGCAAAAGGAAAAAATAGCGCAAAGAAATCAAATTGATAATTCAAATGCAGTTCATGAAAATTCATATAATTTTTCGAACAGTATAAATAATTATCCAATTACAAACCGAGATCATAAAATTCAGGAATTCACATTTTTAGAAGAAACAAGATGGAGCATCAGCAAATCAAGGAATAAAAGTATACACCTTTTTTCTTGAGGGCAGTAAGAAATTACAGAAAACAAGATCTGTAAAACTTCAGTGAGACAAACAATAATCTTTGCCTATTATTTTAAGCACTATAGGAACTTCACGAGTACAGGATCTGAATCTGGTCAGTGTTTTTTCAACTGCGCTGATAATAAGAACGTACTGCGCTTTATGAATCTTTTAAACCCTAATTCGGGACGGCCAAAGATAGATACTACTAATTTTTGTGTGTAAACTTTGAATCGACGGACAGTGATGTGAGTAGGTGAATTTACAGCGGTGGGCTCAGATGTAAAATGGACCGGGTTAAATCGATCGGATCCAACACGACGTGGGCCAAGGAAGCCCAGTAGTTTCTAAATGGGTTTCGTGGAAAGTGCACCACCTACCTAGTATATTTAAAAAATATTCGAACAATACTTTTTAACCTTTTTATCCAATAATTAATACTAAATTTAAGTAAACAACTCAATTTCTAACAATATTAATCATGGCAACTTAATTTCCTCCACCAAACACGCCCTTAATATACGTTTGACAATATTCGAAATCCTCAACCCTTTCATATTTTGTGAATGTTGATTTGACATGAATCCTCCCCCAAAGAAATCCCAAAAACCATCCCAGACATTAATAAAGAAGATTTACATTTGTTTCATTAAATATATCGATTTTAAGATCATCATTTTGCCATGATTAGGGCTCCGTATTCTATATAAAAACCCTAACAGTAGGTGACTACAACAAACCAGAAAGAAAATTGCAAACCGTTGTTGTTGTTGTTGAAGGTACAGTTCCAAATTCAGATAGACAATGGATCACCAACTTGCAAACCAAATTTGTGTTTGAACAAGAATAAGCAAAAAGTTGAAAACATACCACACACCATTGATTCAAGTCCTCGTTTTTCTATGGGGTTGGTATGGGAGCAACAAAAGGTTGACGTTACGCCTGGCAGCCCCAAAACGCTGATTGTCATTTGGTTCCATCACTCAACAAATAAGGGATTCATCAAAGTCGCTGGATTTGATAGATTTTATATGTAATATGTAATGTAAATTAGATTTTGACCCTGTTTGATTCTCATTTTTGGGATAAAATATATTATGGAATAGTGATGTTTTGAAGAATGTGTGATTAAAAAGTAAGAATTTTTTTTTGAAATACGTGTATAATTATTTTATAGAATAATGTATGGTTAAAAATAAATTTTGGAAAAATACATTCTTGAAAAAATTGGAATCAAATAGGGGCTTTATATAAATTGATCTAATGGCTGAGACATTTGGCCCAATCACATCTAGAGCCAACCTTGCACGACAACTTTTCAAACATGAATGCAGGAATTTGATTGAAGCATATGATATGGATTTCAACCTAGTGCCGTGCAACACAAGACATGACATTAAGTTGAAGGGAGTGGTGATACAATAGATGCTTTTGGACAATTTCCTTACTATGTTTTGGTTATTTCTTTTGATCAATTAGTTGAAGTGACAAACTTAGTTTCCAGTTTCTGTTGTTTTACATTCTGACCTCTTTTGACATTGTTTCATGGTACAGTCAATGTGGAGTTGTGTTTCTCAAACCACACTTTCATAAGTGAAAATACGTTTTCTCCCACTTGTATCTCTATGGACAGTTGGTAGTTTGGTATTGGCTTACAAATGGTCACGCGAGTTGTGATTTCTCTTGGTTATTGGGGACCGTTGATATAATCCTATGACTGAGATTTAGTCTTCAATAATTAATGGCTTTTGAGGGTTGGGAAAAGGAGCAGTTGGTCACTCTCTCTTTTGAAGAAATTGTCTTTTTGGTTTTTTCTCTCTGTAGCTCTCTCTCCCCTCTACTTCTTCTTTTCTTTTTAGATCTGAAGAACTTTGGTAATCTTTGTAATAATCTTCTAGTTATCTGATGATGGTAGAATGTTGGTACAGTGTTTTAGGCCTTGTTTGTGACTGATAAATCTGTATTTTGTTCTTGACAAGGTTTTGTCTAGTTTTGTGGGATAGGGTTCGAGTTATTGAGAGATCCTTGTAGATTGATGACCATATAGTGAGTCTGATTTGGTTTTCTCAAATGGTTGTATTGTACACTCTCTTAAAGGTTTCTTGCTAGTGACGGGCTTACTTCTGAGCTCCCCAGATCGGGCCGTGTTTGGCTGAATTGGGTGAACGATTCTTGTGTTCGATTTATGTTCTTGATTTATTTTTACTATTTGTACGATTGCTTGTGGGTTTTGGTCGATAATCCTAACAAATCTGGCATCAGATCTCAATTTTCGAGGCATCTGCATGATATACCTTGTGCTAAGGATATTTTGTGAGTTGAGGAAAGTAAATCGTCGTGCATATTCTACTTTTTTGGATCTGCAGTATTCGGCTTTTTCATTTCTTGAGATTTTTATTTTTTCTTTACTTTCTATCCAGATCTTAAAGATCTGCATAGACATCTAAGGAGACTAATTTTTCTGTTGAAGTGCGTAGGTCAAGAACTAAAGATTGGTAAGCACTTGACCGGTTCTAGTTTGGCAGGTGATAGGGTGGTCTTTAAAAACTTTTGATTGCACTGTTGTTCAACGGTGTTGTAGGTGAGATCTTACCATTAAAAGAACCTGTATAATTTTGGTGCACAAAAATTGCATGTCTATTGTTCTGTGGATTAATTAGTGACATTGTACACTGTGAATTGATCTGACAATAGGAGCACGTTTAGGTATTATACAAAGTTCTTCATATCTGTTGTGTAATTCTTTGAATTCCCAACACGTTGTCTGCCTGTGTATATTGCTTCAGTTGTACAAGTTAAGATAATTGTTTTTCATTCAGTGATTTACATTACTTTAAATCTGTTAGAAAGTTTCTTGGTTTTTTGGTATTCATAAATTGTTGTGTATGTCATGGCTTCTAGTAGTAACCACCCTTTTACAGAACCTATGATGGGTTCTAAGGTCGAATTATCACAATTCGATGGAAAGGAGGTTTACTCAATTTGGAAGCAGAAAATGAGGGCTATATTGGTCCAACAAAAGGTTGCGAAAGCCCTGGATGACCTTGATAAATATTCCGATGAACTTAAAGCCAAACCTGATGAGATTCTTGAAATGAATGAAATTGCTTACAGCTCGATTATCCTGCACTTATCTGATAATATAGTAAGGCAAGTAGAGGAATCTAAAATTGCTAGAGACCTATGGATAGCCTTGGATAATTTGTTCTTGACCAAGACTTTACCAAATAAAATTTATCTCCCGGAAAAACTGTTCAGTTTTAAAACGGATGACCGAAAAGACCTTGAAATCAATTTGAGTGATTTTAGCATACTGGTAAAGAGTCTTTCTCATAATAGTAAAAAATTTGAAGATGAAGATCTTGCAGTGATCCTTCTAATCTCCTTACCTGATTCTTATAAGGATATCAGAAATACTATAAAATACTCAAGAGATGCTTTAACACAATCAATCGTGACAAATGCCCTAAGATATAGAGAATTGGAAGTCAAGAAAGACTCTAAACTAAACTCAAGAGAGGAGAGTTTGTTTGTAAGAGGAAGACCAATAAAAAGGGAAAAAAATTCACAGAATAAAAGATTCAAGTCCAAATCCAAAACCAGATCTAAATCAAGAGACAAAAGCAATAAAAAATGCTATGACTGTGGTAAACTTAGCCATTTCAAAAGAGACTGCTTTGAGTTAAAGAAGAAGCTAAAAGAATCCAGCAACATTAAGTTAAATAATGTTGCTGTGAGTTCTAAACTTGACAGCCTTCTTGTAATGATTGTGACAAATGAAGAAACAGACACTAACTGGATTTTAGATTATGGACGTAAATTTCATATGTGTCCAAATAAATCTTGGTTTCATAACGACAAGGAGATAGAACCCTGGAAAGTATATATGAGTGATAACAATTCATAAAATGTACTTGGAATTGGTGACATTTCAATCAAAATGTATGATGGAAGTGTTGGGCAGATAAAAAATGTGAGATATGTCCCAAATCTAAAAAGAAACCTCATTTCATTGGGGATTCTTGAAAATGAGGAACGTACATTTAAATCTGAAAATAACACTTCAAAAATCTTTAAAGGATCTCCTGAAGTCATGAAGGGGCCTAAAAGGAATGGGCTATACTACTTAATGGGAAAAACTGTTAATTCCCAAGACCCAAGATCTTTAAATAAAAACTGAGGGCAAATTTGAATTGTAGCATTGTAGAATGGGTCATATTGGAAATAAGGGCTTAAAGCATCTTAATGACTAGAAATTGTTTGGGAAATATAAAGTGGAACCCCTTAATTTTTGTGAAACATGTGTGCTAGGGAAGTCTCATAGAGTGAGTTTTGAGACCAGGTCACACACAATAAATAGACAATTAGACTATGTCCATGCAGATTTATGGGGGCCAGAAAACCACCCAACCTTTGGTGGAAATAAATATTTTCTTTCTATAATTGATGATTATTCCAAAAAGGTCTGGACTTATCCATTGAAATCCAAAATTGAAACCTTTCAAAAATTCAGATTGTGGTTAAAGATGGTTGAGAACCAATTGGACAAGAAATTGAAAACCGTAAGAACGTGATGGGTTGGAATTTTGCAATGCTGAATTTGATAATTTTTGTAAGCAAAAAAGAATAATTAGACATAGAACTGTTAAACACATATTCCAACAAAATGGGGTTGCTGAGAGAATGAATAGAATCCTTATGAATAAGGTAAGATGTATGCTGATCAATTATAGGCTTGCAAAAGGATTTTGGCTAGAAGCTTTATGCACGGCTGCCTACCTTATAAATAGGTCCTCTTGTAGTTCTGTAGAGTTTAAAACTCCACAGGAACTATGGATTGGAAAACCACCAAATTTGTCATACTTAAGAGTCTTTGGTTGTGCTGCATATGCATATCAAATTGAGGAGAAATTAGACCCGAGGGCTACCATGTGTGTTATGCATGGATACCCTGAAGGGGTTAAAGGGTAAAGGTTATAGGGTACTTGGTATTAAGGGAATAAAGATCATTAACAGTATAAATGTGGTGTTTAATGAGACTGAGATGCATTGCTTGGAGAATAATATGGATAAATCAGATCTGGCTGAAAAGGGTACTTCCCAAAATGAGGTGAAGTTGGCAAAATTATATAATAACAAATCTGATATAACTGAACCAGAACCTGTACATGTTAGTGTAAGTGTAGAAAATATTGATGAAGGTGAAGTTAATCCATCCCAAATTGGAACTGAAACAGAATCTGAAACTGTGGC